TAATTTTACTGTATTGTGCCATTTCATGCTCCAAGAAAGTTTTGCAGTGGTTACAAGTCATCAGCATAATGCATGCTGTTGGGACTCTCTGAAAGGCAAGGTTTGACATAAAGCCCATTTAAATCAGTGGAAATATATAAATAAAGGTCAGTACATTCTGTATCAATGTAAGCATGTTAGTTAGAATAAACTGAGTTCAGTGAGGTTTGCAAGTGGATATAAAAATGCAACTTAAAGTTATGTTTTTCTTAAGTTGTCTTTTCCATTGGAAATTAATTTGTCTAAAATATATTGTAAATCAAGGACTAAAATGAACAAAAAAAATTAAGTATCTACCATTTTATTTCTACTTGCAATAAATAAGCATCTCAGGCTACAGAAACAACTGAGTAGACAATATTGATCAGCTTAAAAATGATTGATTTTAATCTAGTCTGAATCTGAAATGGCTTAAATCTAGATAGATTTATGTTTTAAAAAGTGGCAGTTGGGCTCTTTTTAATCCTTCTTAGACTGTTTCTTGTCCCCTGACTGCAGTAAAGATTCCCAGTATTTTCATTGCATTTAAATTTATATTTGATTTTATTATTTACTTTGGGAATGATGCAGTCATGTTTAAATAATTGATTCATTTTTCAAAGCCATTATTTTCAATGAAGAATTTAAGTGTGTTTGAATAGTTCTAACTTAACTGGCTGAGACAAATGTGCATAATGTGGGTAAGCTCCAATCCTATATGTTATGTGTTCTTGTTGCAATTTATGTATATATTCAATTTGGTCAAACAAAACATTGCATTTGTATTTGCTTTTTAGAATTCTCTTAGTCTTCGTGTCAATATTTTCTCTGTATTCCGTTCACCTTCTCTTGAAGACTTCCAATGAAGGAGGTAATGATAGTAACTATTTGTCAATCATAGATTCTCTCATCCCCTGCCCCCTATGTAAATTGCATTCTTCCAAATGATCTCTATTCCTGTAGGATCTCTATTATATGAACAACTGGGAATGAAAGCATTTGGCATGCCTGGAAAACTTGCAGCATCTGGATCAATTACAATGCAGAACATTGGAGGTAAGAGCCTTCTCAGATAATGCTTTAAAAACAGTCTTCTACTTTATTCCAAATACTATTTTCTCACAAAACATGATTTCATTAAAGAATTCAATCCTGTCACTAGGAACTGTATTTTGTTATTTTTTTTTGTATCATGTTCTCGTTGTAATTATCTACAATATTATTCACCTGCAGCTATGTCAAGCTACCTCTACATAGTGAAATATGAGTTACCATTGGTCATCAAGGCATTTATGAACATTGAAGAGCATTCAGGGTAGGTCCTAGAACTGTTCAGTAGAAATTTTTTTCATGGGAAACAGAAATGGGCATTGTATAAACTATTTTGAGGACTTCTGTTGAAACTTGTTAACTTTAGCCAAATATAACTACAGGTAGTCCTTGCTTAACAATGTGATTCGCTTAATGACCATCATAAAAATGGGGGGGTGCGACAGCAATGGTTGTAAGTGCGAGTACAGGTTGTAAGGTGCTTTTTCCGAGGCCATTGTGACTTTGAATTGTTGTTACATGAATGGTCGTTAAGTGAGGACTACCTGTAAAGTATTAAATGCCAGTTATGCTTTCCTGCCTCTTGAGAGGCATATTTGATAGATTTTTGTTTTTTTGTTTTTGTTTTTTTACCAGAAAAGAGTTACCAAAACCCTTGAAGTTTGATAATATAATAATTCCTAGTAAACTGGTAAACATATTTTTGTTTAAAAATGGTAAGAGAGAAAGCAGGAAGCCAATCCTATACCACATCAAATGAGTGGTCCATCTACCCCTGGGTTGCCAACATTATAGCCAACAGTGGTTCATGCCACTGTGGGACAAGATTCTTTCTCTGCCTTACCTGGACATGCCTAAGATTGAGATCTTTTGAATGCATTGTACCAATCTAGGGAGCTAACCAAAATGAAATTCTGTGAAATACAATATCAAAAAAGTAAAATATTTTGATAAATATATTTCCATACTGATGAATGCTTCTGATCTGTACATTATATCTGTACATATAATCTCAAATATTACTGTTGGAATTATTTGTCCATTCTGAAATACTTTTACAATTAGATATAGATGCATAGGTTTTGGCACTAGGGTTGTGCTTGGTGGGTTTAGAAGATTAATAGTTACTGTACCAGTAGGTCATTCTTCAAGTTAGTATAGTGTAGTAGTAGTAGTACTTTTTTTTTTATCCCGCCTTTATTATTTTTATAAATAACTCAAGGCGGGGAACATACCTAATACTCCTCCCTCCTCCTATTTTCCCC